AAAGAATTTAAAAAAATGATGATGATGGCAACTTAGGTATAAATGTGCTTGACACAATGGATGGATGTAGGGACTGTGAGGAGAGGTGTGAGGGCCCCAGTGAAATGACTGAAAGAACATGAAGAAGCGTTAGCAGGCTCAGACCCCACAGGTGCAGTTCTGCACTGTTGGGATCGACTCAGGGGTCCTGCGTGAGTCCTCATGTTATTTGACTCCTCTCTCTCGTTTTGGGGGCTCCTTTTTCTTTATCCAGCCCCTTAATTGTTGCTGTTTCCTAAAGCTTTGCTTCATTTCTCTTACCACTCTACATAGTCTCCCTTGGGGATTTCATTCCCACAGTGTCAGCTGCGATCTATCACCAATGACCCCCTAAGACATACTTGTTGCTTTGAATCTTTCATCTTTATTGAGAGTCCTAGCCCGCTAGTCTTGAGCTTCTGTTGTATATTTATTGTCTCTGCTACAGATTACAGTATAGAGGCTTAGAGGGTTAAGTGAGATGCCCTGGAATATATGGTTAGAAGATGACAAAGTTAAAATAGCCCCAAAAAAACCAATTTGCTCTGATCCTTACTTCATAGTCCATCTGTTCCTCCACTCTGAGATAGAGGTCCACAGCCCCAACTTTCAGCCAGACCTTGACTGTATTGGGCACTGTGAAATATTAGTGTTTTTTCTTCCATAGTTAAAATTAAGCTTTCCTTTTTTTCATAGTGTTCATTAGGCTAAAATGGACATGTTTTAAAAGAGCTGTGTTTCTCAACCTTTGTCATTACCATCCCTCGATGGAGGAAAACTAAATTTAAGTTCTCCCTAGTGGGAGAAATTAAATTGTGGGGAATAAGATTTTGTTAGGTAGGATTGAGCTTTGGAAGGTCACAAACCACTGTAGGATTTTCTTTCCTCCTCTTGGGGCATGATGGGTGGTGCTACTCATGCTGAGAGCATAAAATAATGGACCACCTTCATCTAATAAGGAAGCCTGCACTTTATCTAGACAGCAGATGCCCCTGAACCCAGTCTGAGCTCCTGGTGGGTGGTCCGGTCCTTGGAAGTGGAGAAAGTATGGTGTCAGTGATCCAGGAATATCCCAGGTAGCAGGACACCCTGCTACCATTTGAGCCCCTACATCTACCCAGGGGCCATAGAACTGACATTCCGTGTAGGTAGTTCCTTTAAAAGAGGAGTGGCTGAAACAGTCCATAGAAAATCTTCATTTATTTATTGGTTGGTTTTTGAAAGTGGAGCTTGTTTGTTTTCCCTTTAAGCGTTATGATTGTTCATGTATTGGTGGTAAAAGGAGAAAGGACTTGTATAATTGTGGTAGGGATCTGAAGGTGAGGCCCTTACTTTCTGTAGCAGGACGGGGAAATTACTGCTTCCTCCTCACATCCAGCTGTGGAAAAACCAAGAGATTCCAGTGCAATAACCGGATCTGTTTCTGTTCTCCTTTCTTTTTCTAGCTCGTTCTCCGGTTTTTAGTGCCATGTTTGAACATGAAATGGAGGAGAGCAAAAAGGTATGCCGTGGGGTTGGAGACACGTCTCTCTTTCAGCCGGTGACTTGCCTGTTTGGCAGCATGGCAGCAGCTTTCTTTCCCCACTTCTCCTTTTCTCGGTGTGTTATTAAGATGGAGCACAGTGCCCTGAACAGATACCTTCTGAGAGCAGAGAGATGGGACCGGGTGAACTTTAGGTCACGTGGCCACACTTAATCCCCAGGCCAGTCATCTAAACAGTTGGGGTAATGGCATTAGACATGCATTTTCACTCGGTCAGTTCAGGAAAAGAAAGGCTAGGAATCAAAGGCATAGTTGTTTTGCAGTGGTAGCTGCTGGCAGAGAAGGCTGGTATAATCAAATAGGGCCCAGAGAAACGTTCCATCCACGTCTCACCGGAACGTCAAGTCATGAAAGCAGTGTAGGGATTTTGTCTGGTTGGAATGTTTCTCATTTTCCATTTTCCTGGCATAGAATCGGGTTGAAATCAATGATGTGGAGCCTGAAGTTTTTAAGGAAATGATGTGCTTCATTTATACGGGGAAGGCTCCGAATCTTGACAAAATGGCTGATGATTTGCTGGCAGCTGCTGACAAGGTGAGATAAGAATTAAAAAACATTCGTGGGGGCTAGGGGTTCGTGTGCCCTGTTCAGTTTGAGGACCCCCTGGGCGTTGATGTCGCCTGTGAGTAAGAAGCGAATATGGCCAGTTTGGCCAGGGCAGGCCTGACCTATGCTTGTGGTCAACTCTCCTTATGTTCAACAGTGCCCTGCTGTGGAGAGTAAGTTCTGAGGTCGCCCTATCTGTGGGAACGGAGGAGAAGCGGGAAGCTTATTCCTCTTCCCCATCTCAAATTTAAAGACAGTGAAACTAGAGATTCAGGTACTGTTAACACTTGTATTGTGCTTATAATTTATGAAAGGTTTTTGAGGCCCTTATCTTATTTAAACTTCTGTAAACAAAAGGATAATGTCTTATCCATTGTCCTGGCTAGCATTTTCAACATTGGCTTAAGTAGTTATTGCAATGTAAACTTTATTCACAATTATGAGATGATTAATTAGTAGCTTTGGGGGCAGAGAGGGGAGGAGAGAGATGCGAGGACCGTAAATGTGTACTTTGTGAGACATTTCCATTTCAGAAGCTAAAGTGTGAAAATACACATGTGAACCTAGCACCAAGGAAAGGAGCTGTTTACATAAGCCAATGAGCCAGTGTTTCCTAATGTAAGGCGAGGGCCCATTTGGTGAGAAGTTGTGGGGAAGGTTTGTGAAATACCGAGTTTGAACCAGCTGAATCCCGGCAGTGCTTTACGTTTATGAATGAAAAGTAACTAATGGGTAACCACGACAAATTGCATTCAGAGTGTCTTATCAGACAGCCTTTGCTCCAAGCCTGTGTGGAAACCTTTCTACCTTTACACCTCCTTGGGAGCTTTAGGGAAACAGTACGAAATCTTTCATGGAAAGATCTAAACATCTAGAATTTACTCAAGAGGTTGGAACAGCTTCTTCTGAGCTTTTTCCAGTCTCCTGGGACACGTGTAATTAGACCAAAAACAAAACAAAACACGTTGGTCAGGCCTGGGAGACACAATTTAAATCTCTCGGGTAAGTACTACCATTAGGCAGGTTTTTCAGAAGCATAATTAAGAAAAAAACTTTATCCCCCAAGGGACAAGAGTGGGGACTTTTGTCTAATTATGCAGTAGGGATCAGCTCTTCACCATACAAGTCCTTTTAAAAGAACGTCTTGAGAAAGGGTGGGGGGAGTAGCCTGTGTAGTGCTGTGTGAAGCCCAACCATTGGCCCAGCCTTTTACAACAAAACCGGCAGCCTGATTCCCCTTGCTTGTCTAGTGCCATTCATTCCTCTTTTCCATGGAAACGGTTTTCCAGTTACTCAAATGTAAGAAATTAAAGCCGCACCAAACCCAATAAACCTCTTCTTTTGCTCCAGGAGATCAGAGTGCCAACAGATAGGCCTCCTCACCCAGAATTCATAAAAATAACATTGTCCTGGGTTGATTGTCCTGGTCCAGCCTGGAGGGGGTGTTGTGCCAGTGTGTTCTGACCATGGGTCTCCTCGGAGCACACTCCTCCCCTGTGAGCAGACTCGTGACATTTTATTTGGTGTGCTTCCTTTTATTTCTTCCTCCTCCCGATCCCTGAAGTTCCTTGGTAAATCCATCATCTCATATGAACGAGCCAGTAATGCCGCTGTCTCGAAACCAGTTCACTAGATCAAATGTGCTCAGCAGTAACCAGACCTTTCCTCTCCTAAACACCGAGGGCCCTGTGCTTGGAGAAGAGGAAGTTTTTAAAGGGAAACTGGATTGGCGTCTCTGCTCCTTTGTCCGTGTGCCCCGAGACCCTTAACCTCAGCCCCAATAAAACAGGACTTCGTTTGTCCTCTTCTATTTAAAAGGTGGCCTTTGGTTGGCCCTTGTTCAGATACACTAACTAATGGTGGAGATGCTGGTGAAAGTCACCACAGGGCTCTTTGTCACAGCCCAATGGACCGGTTGGAATACCCTGCTGGGCTAGTGACAATGCTTAAGTGGAAAGGGTTGAAATAAGAACTGTGCATCCCCCTAGTCTGCCTCTAAGTAAAAGGATCGCAGAAGTGGCAAGTGTAGCCCTCCTGCTGACTGACAGGAGGGGAGGTGGTGATGGTGGAATAAACACTTGCATCGCAGTCTGGGTAGGATGAACGCTGGGACATGCGTCTGCTCCCTGCTGCCATGTTCAGTCGGTGGGCTTGAGTAGGTAAGCAAGTTCATTTAGCTGTCTTCATCCTCAAGTTCAGCACCTAAACTTCAGAGCTGTGGCTGTTTGATGGCCGCTTTTGTGGCCCTGCCTCTGTGCACAGCTGTTGGGTTTGTGATAGGACTTGCCGTGCTGGGTACAGTCTGGGCAGCACTCAGTTCCGAGCTGCTCCTGCTCTGACACCGGCCCGCTTGTGTTTTCCAGTATGCCCTGGAGCGACTCAAGGTCATGTGTGAGGATGCCCTCTGCAGTAACCTCTCGGTGGAGAACGCAGCAGAGATCCTCATCCTGGCTGACCTCCACAGCGCAGATCAGTTGAAAACTCAGGCAGTGGATTTCATCAACTAGTGAGTTGGCATCTTCAAAGTTTTTTTCCTCTCAGGATAGTGGCGGTAGCGAAAGAAATGAGAAAAACTTTGAATTAGTGAGTAAAGCAGGCTAGTCGCTTCATTAACCTCTGGGTAGGAAATGGAGAGCCTTATCTTTCCCTTCAGCTTGATGGTGTAGAAAATGTTTTGCGTTCATAGGTCAATCTCCTTGTTAAGCAAAGTGTTTCACTTCCTCGTGGCGATCACAATTGATTACAGCGCAAACTGGCTGCCCTGGATAAAGCTGCCTGCCCCAAATGATAGTCACTGCACACACTAGCTTCTTTAATAAAGGACACAGAGCTCACTGGGGGAACAGAAGTAGGCTTTTATGAGGCAGTGGAATGTATCTAAACAGTAGCTTATGGAATGGGGCAGAGAGAAGCGAGTTTATACATGACCTTGTTAAACACTATGCTGAGAAAGACGTGCCTTCCAATGGACCCATTCCTTCATCCTGAGTGACAGCTTGGCCCTGTTACCTTCTGGGACCATTTGAATGGGCCATGATAGTGTGCTAAGGACCCATCCCAGGAACCCAGTGGGGCTGGTTCTCCACCCTTGCCTGACGGGGAACACGCTGTACGAGGGGCGGGGGAAACCCCAGGGAGAGAAGGTAGGCCTTGGGAAGGCCTCACAGCACAGATCTGTAGGACACAGAGCTGAGACTTTGCCAGGGAGGGACTGAGCAGCCTCCAACACGGAAAATCCCAGAGACGGGTTCAGGAAGGTGCTGTAAGGTAGGAAGCGGGCGGGGAAGGGGTGGGGTGGCAAGGAACACCGTGGGTTCTGTAGTGTGCTTGCTGGGCGCCGGGCACGTGCTTGGTGTGGTTCAGGCTTTAACTATCCAAGGCAGCGGAGCTATGAGCCCCTCTTTTTTGATCACTAAATCAGCCCAGGCTAGGATCAGCTTTGTGCTTCTCGACTCAGAAGTGGCAAAGCCAGATGGACACCCAGAGCTGTCTAAGGGGACTTCAGCTCTTTCTCTCTATTGGCGTTGGCGGAGAGAAAAACCTGACAATGATGACAATGCCGAGAAAAGCCTGACTCCCCCTTTCATGTTTGAGAGCAGCTCAAAGCCCCGGCTTCTAGAGTTCCAACAGCCACAACCCAGTTATCTGCACACTGTCTAACACGCCGGCTCTCACGCGTGTGATGGATTCTGTCTGCGGGTCTCTGCGCGGATGCGGGCAGCCTCCCACACCGGGCTTTGATGGGCTGTGCGGATGCTGCCTGGCCCGCCACGTCCTCACCCCCTTTTGTAACCCGTCTCTCCGCATTTCTCCTAGTCACGCTTCGGATGTCTTGGAGACCTCGGGGTGGAAGTCCATGGTGGTGTCGCATCCCCACTTGGTGGCCGAGGCATACCGCTCTCTGGCTTCGGCACAGTGCCCCTTTCTGGGGCCCCCACGCAAGCGCCTGAAGCAGTCTTAAGATCCTGCCTGTTGTAAGACTCCACTTATTTTCCCGAAACAGCAGCCATCGTTGCTGCCACTGACCACCAGGTAGCCAGCGTGATCTGTGGAGCCTTTCCTCTCCCGTGGGGGAGACTGCCCCGTGGCTCCAGACTTTTACGTCAGCACTCAGCAACTTGGGGAGCGGGGGGAGGGAAGGACCCGGGACCGGGCCTGTTCAACCTAATGAAAAACGCTGTCGCTGCGTCCCCGTGTTCCCTGGGGCCTGGCCGCGGCTGTTACTGCGGGGACCCAGCGCCAGCACTGGCCCGGGACACCCCAGCGGTGGCACTTGGGGCAGCCTGTCTGCATCTGACTGAGCAGGACAAGTCTTCAGGTGCCTGGAGCGAAAAGGAAAAAAAAACCACAAGGAAGGACAAAGAGAACGGACAGACATGAAGTTTCAGAGGAGAGACCAGAAAAGGAAGAAGAAAGGAGTTTTGCAGAGTTTCCCAGCAATCCACTGGGGAAGGACTCCAGCAGTCTTTATGTTGCGAGAAACACATTTCAGCCCTTCCAGCTGTGCTGCCACGCGGACGTGTGTGCAGACTCCGCACGCCGCACCACGCTCCGAGAGCGCTCGTGTCGTTAGCGCTTACTGTTTGCAAGAACAGCATTCATCCTTTTATCCTTTTATGAAAAATGACAGGGAAGGCAATGGGGGAGGAGGCTGTTTGATCAGGAAGACGAGTGTTTTGATGTGGAGGCTTTTGCAAAAGTCTTTATCGGTCATGAAAACTGGAAAAGATTGTTCATCCAGTGCTCATACCGACTCGACAAGAACTCCGGTTCTCGGTTTTTAGATACTGTGGGAAATGTTTTATTTCTCCTCCTTCCCCCACCTTTTTTTTTTCTAAAAAAACAAAGCAAAAAAAAACACCCAAAATAAAACAAGCAGATGAAAGGAAAGGCGACTTTTCTCTTATTCGTGCTGGTTGACAGACCCCAGCCCAGATTGCTCAGCTCAGAGGAGCCAGGCCTCGTCCCTTCTTCTTGTCAGCCCCTCCTCCTACAGGGGAGAACTTCCAAATGTTCGATGTTCTTTTCTTTTTGAAAATATAAATAATCACTATTTTGTACTGTGTAGTATCTCTGGTCTTTATTTCGTTTACCTGGCGTGTCTCTTTGGTCTGAGTTCCTTGCCAAGTGGTGTCTGGAGGTGAGTCTGTGTGTGCAGGGCCCGGGCAGTCGAATCCAGCGAGTCTCCTCTGTGAGGGCTCTGTGGTCTGTCGCCCTCCTCGTCCTTCTCGTCCAGGACAAGCCTCGGAACTGAGCCTTTCTGCACTCTTGTTTTACAGAATGGCCCCCGGTCTCCCCTCCCATAACTAAACAAGCAACATCCAAAGGAACATGAGTGTGGAGATTAAAGGAAGGGACATAATGCTTTTGAGCTATACTAACTTGGTGTGTTTCCAGACAAGTTAATGTTCTAATTCCCAGGGAACTCACAGGAGTGCTCTGCGGCTGCCTCTCTGCCCTTCACAGCAGTCTCGGGTGGGACGGGCTGTGGGGGGTACTGGAACTTAGATGGAACCCTCCGTGATTTTACTCTCCACTGCTCTTCAGTGGCCTTGAGTCTTGAAGAATTTCCTCCCCTACAGTAGATACAGTCTCTTATCAATATGATCAAAGGCAAGATTTGCTTCCTAGAAACTGCCCATTGTGTGCGGCCCCTGTAGGGCCCCCTGCACGTCACCTTGGTCAGGAAAAGCCCCTCACGGGCCTCCTCAGCCTTTGCTCTTCAGAGCAGCAAACAGATCCAGGGACCAGAGCTGCGAAGGAGATGTTTCTCTCAGATCATTGGGTTTGCTCAGCAGTACAGGTTTCCCGAAAACCTGTATGTACAGTCTCTCAGTTGACTCTCCCAATAGTTGACCCACTTGGCGCGGGATAGGCGATAAGAGGTGGCATCTTTCCATTTTGTAGATCAGGGAAGTTGAAGCCCAGGGAAGCAATGGACAAGCCTAAAGTCACACAGCTAGGGAGCCTCTGGCAGATCTTCTCATGTGGCCTAAAGATCGTGCAGTTAAGGGCGGGCCCAGGGGGGAAGGGGGCCAGGGGGGAATGAGACGTAAAGCTTTCTTCCTCTGGGCATAGCAAGGACAACACTCTGGAAAGGGGCCCCTCTGGGCTGGTGTCCAGGGCTTCTGGGAGGACAGACCGGGCTGGAGAACGACTCTCCTTGACAGAAAGCTGTAGGTTGGGAGCTGTTCGTTCCGGGAAGAGCAGCGGTGCTGGCCCCTATCGTCTGGCTGGAAAGAGATCTCTCCTCAGATTTTCCAAGATTCACGGCTCCACCGTAGGTACCGATCCGTTAGGGTTTCCGGTATAGGTGAAGCTGCTTCTGCCATTGTTCCATTATTCCTGGATGTGTTTGTTTTTGTTTAAAACGATACAGTTGAAGCCATCTGGTTATGACAACATCAGAGCCCCAGCATACTGTTCATAAACCTCCCATTGCCTCCACCCCCCCTCAGTCCCCCACATCTGAAATTTAATTCAAGTTAACTCCACAATCTGGGGCATGTGCTGTCGCTGCAGAGATGTCCGTGCCAGTAGAACAGTTGGAGATTTCAATTCCTCAAGGATATGGCTTATTTATCAAAGCAATATTCCAGGCAAGTCGTTCCACAGAACGTTTGGAGCTGCAGTGTCAGGTCCACCCCACCCCCACCCCACTCCTTCCCTGGCTCAGCTGCCTCTTGCCTGGCCATTTGTGGGGGGCATTTCCCCCCACGCCCCATCTGGCCACTAGACCTCTTGCCATCATTATTCGGCATCTCCACCCCCTTATGGGTTTTAACAATTTAGGGTAAAAGATGTCCCTTTTGTCTTATCACTGGGTAGGGCCAGTGGGTTTTTGTGTGTGTGCGTTTTTTCAGAGGGGGGGGTGTAGTTTTTTTTTCCCATTACAACCAAGGTATTCAGATCCTTTCTTGGGTCAAAAGATCGCTTGCTGGACCGCTGCTCTGCACGTCTGTTCATTGACAAAGCCGGTTGAAGCCCATTGTGGGCCCTCCATGGTGTGTAGGCTGTGCAGATGAGAAGAAGCAGCTTGTATGTGCACCGGCAGAACCACCGGGGCTCGTGCTGACTTGGAAACTGGCTATTGCTTTGTTCTGGGTCTTCATTCCTAGAAAAGGGCAACTCATCCCCCCGCCGGCCCCCCAACTGGGTTGTACTGGGTCCTTTGGGCTCTCTGTCAAAAGATGAATTCTTGGCTGGAACCCAACCTTTGTCTCCTTAAGGAATTATCTTTTTAATCAGCTCGGACCCTGTGTGTTCCCTTCATCTCGTGACTTCTCAGCGAACTCTGCCCTCCAGCATTCAAATTCACTCCTAAGGACTGGCTGACTGATCTCACATTCAGGTGAGTACCACGGACTGCTCCTGATTTACATGTGTGTCCGATGTGGGTGGGTTCCCCCCATGGATTTCCCCCCCCCCACACTGCATTTTATTTCAGCGATGACCATACTATGCCGGGCCCTTTGACCCACCTCATGGAGACAGGGTTTGAGAAAGCACACGCAGGACAATCAGCATTTGGGCTAATGAGCTGGGAGAACCAGAAGCTTTGACCTCCGGATGAGAGCAGAGACGTGCGTGTTGTTGACTGATGGGATCTTGATGCTGCCGAGCCATTAGCGAGAGGCTCACTCCCCCCTCGAAAGCCTGTAATGCTGGCGTGGAAGGTGGCATCTGGAATACTGTTTGGTGCGGATTTCTGCAGCTCTAGGAGAAAAAGAATTTTAGGCTGGAGGGAATTCAGTACAAACAACAGAAATGATTAAGGAGTTGAAGGGGGATCAACTCTCGGGGAAAAACATTATGAAGATGAAATATGCATAACTCGAGTGTGGGAACATTGCAGCAGGGCACCTGCGGTGTACAGATCTTGCACGCGCTCTGAGCGCGTCCCTGGCAGGTTCTGTGTCCTTCCCATTCATCCGGAGCTTAGTTTGGGGAAGTGGTGATAGGACTCCCCCAAGTCACTCAACCAGGCCTGGAGTCAAGAAACAACAGCAGACAAAGGACTAACCTGAGAGCTTACGCCCAAGAACCAAAGAGAAAGTGAGAATCCCAAAGGTTTGCCTGCTGGTAAAGTGAACGCATCTCTTCATGCCAACGGGGTGAGCTCTGGCCCTCCCGCGAGCGTTACAGATGAGCGCTGGTCAAACCAAAGGAGAACATCAAACCCTACCCCCCTGCCCCGAAGTCCAACTCTTTCTAGCTGAGGACTCAGAAAGGCAGGGGGGACGTGCTCAATGCCACGGAGTTGGAAGCCTCGGGCCCCGATGCAGCAAGCAGCGGCTTCACCTCTGGTGCGTGCCAGGCATTGTGCTAGTCGGAGACTCCAGTGGCAGGTAGTTCAATGGAGCGGTTAGGAACTGCCCACAGGAAGAAAGCAAGGCGGTCATGGCACTGAGGACCTGCGAAGAGGCTGGTGAATAAACCGTGAGGGAGGGGCACCGGTGACCGGAGAGCAGTTGTGGCCAAATGGTGAGGCAGAAGCCAGACTTCGGCGTCTGCGTCGATGGAGTACTGGGGACTCTTTCCAGAAGCTGGGCAGGCAGGGAGGAGGGAAACCTCTCTCATGCTTAAGAGCTCAATGCCCCAATCTAGGCAACACACTAGGTTTGGACTAGAAATAATGGTACACAAGTTGTTCCCCTAAAATCACCCACAAAGGGGGCTTCAAAAGGTTTGTTGGGAAATTCCACTGTCTTTGAATGCCGTTTCCCCCCCATGTTTTGGAAGGCCCTTGTGTTCCTCTGTAACTGATATTTGTCAGTGCAGGAGCGTTTACAGACTAATCACAGCCAAAATAAAATGGCCACCTCCCCCTGCCCACCCGCAGTTGGGAGGAGGACTTTGTAGACAGACATGTATTTCTCTCTGTCTTCAGCTTGCCTGTCTTCTAGCAGTTCCCTTCACACACACCATGCTCCAAATCCCCCCCACTCACGGCCATCGTCCCGCTCAGAGTGAGCCCCAGGACAGGCTGCAGCCGCCCCTGTGGGTTTCCGGGACTGCACCTTCTTAGCGGAGCAGAAAGCCGCCTCTTTCTCCTGCCGAGTGGGTGGTGGATTAGAAGGGCTGACCATGTTGTTAGGAGACCGGCAGGCATGTCACACCCTGTGCCGCCAGGGCCCCTCCCCGTGGGACCTGGGAATGTTCTCAGGAGCTGGCGGTTTGGTCAAGGGTGTGCTGCCAAAGCCATGACACGGCGTTTCCCAGAACGTCGGCCTGATTTGTGCTCTCCCTGGTACTTTGACGTTTCACATTCCCGAATGTGGAGTTAGGGAAGGGTGGGAATTGGCGCATTAGCTCGTGTTTCTACCATGCAAATACAATAGACGTGATAACCCCAGGAGCTTGGGTAATAGTACAATGTAATAAAATAAGTAGGAAGAGATGAAGTTTGAGGCTTTATTACCTTTCCTTTTAATTGTAGGCTTATGCGATTTAATTTTTAATAATGGCTGTGTTGTTCAGCAACCAGCTCTGAAAATTCCTAAACGTGTACCCAGCCCTAGAGAAGCCGTGCAAGCCAGCTCCAGCCCACCCCAGTAAGGCTTCATTCACATTGTTCTCCAACATCGGGAGTCTCGCCGTCTCCTGTCATCCCTCAGCGCGTCACACCTCGAGCCACCAAAGAGCTAAATGAGCAATTGTCTTTGTAGGTCTCTTGTCTGACGTTGATAACATAAGCCAGTGGTTTCCTTACACGCCTCCTGTCCCGGGGTAAGTGAACACATCTCGATCCCTGTCTCTCGCTCGGGTGCCAGTGTGCCTTTCACAGAAACACTCATTGGAAATACATCCCCGCTGGCACACCACCGACATCATCTGAAGTCACGCCAGGGGCTGTGGCCCCGCAGGAGGCTCTCTCCCTGCCCCACCACTGCAGCAGGGACATTTAAAAACAGAGCAGGGCATTCGAGAGCGGACAGCACGCCAATCAATGGGTGACCCAGAGGGGGTTCCATTTCCACCAAAGGCCAAGAACCTCTGTTTTGATTTGCCTTTCTGTGAACATTCATTTTTACCAATAATGCATTTATCCATCCAACAT